GATACAGGAAGGATTGGGATGAGGAGGTTGGCATCCCACGGGATACAGGAAGGATTGGGATGAGGAGGTTGGCATCCCACGGGATACAGGAAGGAGAGGGATGAGGAGGTTGGCATCCCATGGGATACAGGAAGGATTGGGATGTGAAGCGTTCTGGCTGCCCAGAACGCCTCCCACAGCACTGGGCCCTGGATTTTGTCCCACAGGGTCCCCACTCCACCTCCTGCCAACCACGAGGGACAAAAGCCTTTTGGAAGTGCCCAGAAGAGGCTCGGAGAGGAGCAGGAGGGGCACAGGAGCATGTGCTGCGACATTCCCTGCAGCCCCTGCAGCACTTCCTGCAGCCCAGCACGTGCTGCAACATTCCCTGCAGCCCCTGCAACATTCCCTGCAGCCCAGCACGTGCTGCAACACTCCCTGCAGCCCCTGCAACATTCCCTGCAGCCCAGCACGTGCTGCAACACTCCCTGCAGCCCCTGCAACACTCCCTGCGGGCAGCAGAACCACAGCACTGCTGGAAGGACCGGGAGGATCAAACCCAGCTGAGCTCCCTGGAGCTGTGGGAATCCCCTCAGGATTTGCAGTTTCTTGGGATTTGTCACCCCGACGATGCTGGCACCTAAGCAGGATTTACTTTACCACACGCCCCCTCTCCAAAAACACCGAGGCACCCCGGATGCTCCACTGCTCGTGGCGGGTTTTTGGGATTTTTCCTCATGCCGGGACGCTCTGGAGCGGCGCTGCTTCCCGGGAATTGCCCTGCAGGGAGCAGGCAGGCTGCTGCCTCTGCAGGGATCAGTGCCTTATGCCATGTGCAACCCTCCTGGAGCAATCCCGGCCTTAAACGGAAAACAAACAGATTGCAGGGGGTGAGGAGAAAATTCCAAACGCAGGGAATGGGGCTTTGGAGAGCGCCGCCTGCAATTACGGTAACGCCCGCAGCCACGCGGGGAATTACGGTAATGCCCATCTGCGGTGCTGTTATTTTCATTAATTTCCGTAATTAATGACAGCTCCCGTGCCTTTTCCAAAGGACGTTTGCGCTGATAAAGTCGCCAAGAGATGGGAATCAGGAGTGTAGGGATGAGGAGGGGATGCTCACCTCAAATCCGGGGGGTTTCCCTTAAAAAGGAGAAAATCAGGAAATGCTCAGCGCTCCTGTCCCTCCACCCCAAACTCTGACCATGCAATTAATGCCTTTAACTGACGGGAGGAGTGCAGATAACACCAATAAGATCAAGCCCAGGTGCCATTTTCCATATCCAAAGGCACAGCCGACATTCCCAGCTGGTCTGGAAGCATCTGGAGCTTTGTGTGAGGAACAGCCCTGGCATGACGTGGAGCTTCCCCGTTGTCCCTGCTCTGAAGCAACCACAGAACTCATCTGCACCAGATGAAGTCTCCCAGAATTGAATCATTCTTGGGTTCCCAGCAGTGACCTTGTTCCGTGCATCCTCTGCTCCATGGAATCCCAGCTCCCTCCCAGCTGTGCGTGTGGGTGGGAATTTCCTTGATTACCAGAGGGAAAGTTCTGTCCCAGCTCTCCTCCTGCTGCCCACGCCGAACCCTCGCTGCTCAGGGCTTCTCCCCACCTTTATTCCTCTGCTGAGCTCTGGTTCCAGGCGTGGGAATCCCGGGAGAGGGGTCCTGGCAGGGTGGTGACGTTGGCACCAAGGGCACAGCAGCTCCTGGAGCCGCTTGGCAGCTGCCCTGTCACCCCATCCTAACCAAATGTGCTCCCTTGTTATGCAGAGGAAGAAAATTTGGTCTAATTTATGACCTAATTTGACAGATTTAGGAGCTGGGGGGTCCAGGGTGACCCTACCATGACCTGGCAGGGCCTGGAGGGGCTCCAGGAGAGCTGGAGAGGGGCTGGGGACAGGGCAGGGAGGGACAGGACACAGGGAATGGCTTCACTGCCAGAGGCAGGGATGGGTGGGAGATTGGGAATTGGGAATTGTTCCCTGGGATGGAATTCCCAGAGCAGCCGTGGCTGCCCCTGGATCCCTGGCAGTGCCCATGGCCAGGCTGGGCACTGGGGCTGGAGCTCCTGGCACAGTGGGATGAGATGGGCTTTAAGATCCTTCCAACCCAAACCAGTCTGAGATTCCATGATACGACCCCGATGGGGATGGGAAAAAAAAACCTCCCTGATGATTTAGTGCAGAAATTCCCACTTTTCTGGCTCTTTATGGAAAGAACAACTCTGTTCCTCTCCTGGGGAGGGCCGTGAAGAAGCACCCACAGCCCTTCCCAGAGGGATCCTGCTGTTATTCCTGTTCCCTCTGGAGTCTGGCGAGGTGCTCCCGGCATCTCGGGGAGAAGAATAAAGACAGGAGCAGGGATCTGCCGCATGGAAATCCTTTGAAGTCATGTAGCCCAG